GGCAGAAGCCTTGGGCGCCACGTGCGTTCAAGGTATCGATGGCTCACGGATTTCTGCAATTCACATTCAGTATCGCATTTCGCTGCGCTCTTCATCGTTGCGAGGGCCAAGATATTCGTTTGCCGAGAGTTCTACAATATGGTGCCGTTCCCACACGACCGACCCCTCGACCAGAACAGAAGGGGGCCGTCAACCCGGACAGCGACAAATCAGAGCAGGTACATCAATAAGAAGTTGCAAAGTCGTCGCCACCAGTTGTTGCCACGGGCCCGCCCGACCCCCCGTTCGGGGGGCAGGCAGGCCACCTGGGAGCTGCGGGGCAACGAGGGTGCAAGCGCTGTCTCCTCCCCCCGCCCCCAACCCGACACCACCCCGTTCACGACCAAAACCCTCCCCCAACGGCCCTCCACCCCGCGATTCAGACCACCTCGACTGTGTCGAGGACGACGATCTGTCCGGAAGGGAGAACCTCGGTGGGAAGGAAGGCAGGACGAAACGGGGAGGGGCCGAGGACCCCGCAACACACCCCGCCCCTAGCCTCTACCACGAGCCTCGATCCCCAAACAAGCCACAAGCTCCACACGAAGCCGTGGTTGAGGCTGGGATGGAAAGGAGGCTCGGACAAAGCTGAGACGGGAAGGAGCGGGGGTACGCAGGCCGAGGACAGCCGCCACCACCCGACATCCCGCCCGTGACCCTCCCGCAGGGCTGTCCGTGCCCGGACCAACCGCCATCCCGACCAGAAGTCGAGAGTGGGGCTGGGCCGAGGTAACAACCTGCAGAGGCGAGACTGGATGAAGGGGGAGCAATGCCACAAGCCCTCGGACCCTGCCCACTCCCCCCACCCTCGACCTACACCACGCGCCCCTCTGCGCCGGCCCAGCCGCCAGCAGGGCACTAAGCCCAAGGTGGTGCTGAAACGGAAGAGAACAACAGATGCAGGGAGGATGGGGGCAAAGGGCGGCGGAAGGGCGAGCAAGCTTGCGTCCCACACCCCGAAGATCGGCCATTCACGTGTCAATGATCCTTCCGCAGGTTCACCTACGGAAACCTTGTAACGACTTCTTCTTCCTCTAAATGATAAGGTTCAATGAACTTCTCACAGCACCCCCAGCGGCAAACCGCCGAGATCAGCGCAATCCAGACACTTCACCGGACCATTCAATCGGTAGGAGCGACGGGCGGTGTGTACAAAGGGGAGGGACGTAATCAGCGCGAGGAGAGAATGATAACAACAGTCGTATTTTTCATCACCACTTCAGGACACCCTTCACCACTTTAGGATGCAGCCTGCCTAAACAGGTGGTTTTTAGGGTCTTCGGACCTTTCACCACTTCAGGACCATTCAGTTTTGAAAATCCTGAATGGTCCTGAAATGGTGAAAACTCCGAAGACCCTGAAAACCACGTGTTTAGGCAGGCTGCATCCTGAAGTGGTAAAGGGTGGTTTTCATGGTCTTCGGACCTTTCACCACTTCATGACCATTCAGGATTTTCATACTGCCCAAAACTTTCACTTGACCACTTCAAGACACCCTTCACCACTTCAGGATGCAGCCTGCCTAAACAGGTGGTTTTCAGGGTCTTCGGACCTTTCACCACTTCAGGACCATTCATGATTTTCAGACTGCCCAAAACTCTCACTTCAGAATTTTCATTCCTGAATTTTCAGCTATCCGATAACCGCTTGTGAGCGCAAGCTGATTACTCGCGCTTACTAGGCATTCCTCGTTCAAGATCGATAATTACAACAATCTATCCCCGTCACGATGAACCTTAAGAAGGTTACGTGGGCCTTTCGACCTAGGTAAGCGACTCGTTGGATTCATCAGTGTAGCGCGCGTGTGGCCCAGAACATCTAAAGGCATCACAGACCTGTTATTGCCTCAAACTTYCGTTGGCTAGTCGTCCAACAATCCCTCTAAGAAGATGGCCACGAGGACAGGTCCCCGAGTAGCTATTTAGCAGACTGAGGTCTCGTTCGTTAACAGAATTAACCAGACAAATCAACCCACCAACTAAGAACGGCCATGCACCACCACCCATAGAATCAAGAAATAGCTCTCAATCTTTCAATCCTTGCTATGTCTGGACCTGGTGAGTTTCCCCGTGTTGAGTCAAATTAAGCCGCAGGCTCCACGCCTGGTGGTGCCCTTCCATCAATCCCTTTAAGTTTCATCCTTGCGACCATACTCCCCCCGGAACCCGTAAACTTTGATTTCTCACAAGGTGCTGGCAGAGTCATCCAATAGACATCCGCCAATCCCTAGTCGGCATCGTTTATGGTTGAGACTTGGACGGTATCTGATCGTCTTCGATCCCCCAACTTTCGTTTTTGATTAATGAAAACGTCCTTGGCAAATGCTTTCGCAGAAGTTCGTCATCCATAAATCCAAGAATTTCACCTCTGACAATGGAATACGAATGCCCCCA